CATTTAAAATGGATTTCGATATCAAAATACAAAGAGCTATTAACATTAAAGAACATGGCCAGACCTAACAGGGCGTGCAAGCTGACATGAATCTGTGCTGTTTTGGCAGTGGTTATTCACTTTCCGTTTCATATTTTCGTTCAAATATCTCGAGAAATTCATTCAAGAAAAGTATTGTTACGAATCGCCTACGTTAAAGAAAATTTTCTTTAAAATCAGTATGCTAGTTACCGTCTTGTATTGCTAACTTTTTAAATCGCCTAAATGTTTATATGCAAGTGTGTACGCTGCTCATGGATTCGACTTAAAACATTCCTTTTCCTGTCAAAACCACGCTCAACCGCCCGCTGTGCCTCCATGTATGCTCCCATCAATACTTTGAACTGGAAAGTGTTAGGGAAAAAAATCACACTTTTAAATAACAATCTTAATAATATTACGAGTGATGATCCAAAGAATACCCGGATTAAATAATATTTTATTAAAAGTTCATATAACAAACGCTATATTAATGCGTTATATATCCTCTTTACCATGAAACAAAAATTATAACAATTAAACACACTATGGTCAGCACATGCCGTTTGTTGGCATATTTCGTTTTAAATGGCACTCGCTGTAGGTGTGAGTACCTCAACAGACAGGGCAGTACTCGAGCATAGCCCACTTCTTCTTGCTGGACCCAAGCTGGAGGTTTGAACACCGGGTCATCCAAGGTCGGAGCTCCAATCGTCCCAATCGATGATAATGACATCATCATCATCGTGGACCGGCTGCATACATAGTAATGTGCATGTGGGGTTGCACGAATGTGGTCACAATGCCATTAGCTGTGACTGAAACATATATAATGGCATTGATAAACCACAGAAGACCCTTTTTCATCAATGTATACCTCTTCCATCCGTTTGTCTCGATTAAAAAGATCACTTATCCCGCCTAAAACTCCGCCTACAAATGCTCCGAGACCGCCGCCGACTGATGCTCCTACTTTCATACCTTCAATGAATCCATCGTTACCATTAGCTGCCATGTTTCCACCAGCCATTCCTTAAAAAGATTATAAATGCATGCCTAAATTCTGTATTGTAAATGCATTAAGGATCATGTAATAATGTGAAAAACATCAGCTCGTCGAATCGAAATGAGTTCGCCATGAGGTTACTTTCCATACATTAGTAGGTGAAAATATATTCAAATTACATTCACTGTCACAAGGAATACATGCCAGAGCCGAGAAACAGTTCGAATGACCGTAGAAAGGATTTCATAATCAATCACAGTGGAAGTGACCTGTACTGTCTTGGAATCGAACCTGTATCGCCTAATTCACAGTCCAACTCTCTACCTATTCGGCTAACCATTTGGTTACAAGGGAATTAGGGAAACCATGGTTTCTCTTACATGTAACAAATGACAAATATTAGTTTCCTATAATTGTAACGTCATTTAACTTAACTTACCGGCTTGTTCTCTAAACATTGCTCTATCTGATTGTAACATTTCTAGATTGTTATCGATTGCCTGCTTTTCCTCGTCCAATTCCTCTTGTGTCCCCGTTTAGCAGCTCGTAAATTATTTTTTTTCGGTTTCCATATCTTCCTTAAGACGTTTCTTTTCGTTGTCAACATGCTGGTTCCAATAAGCACATCACCAATATTTTCTTGAAGACCTGTATAGGCGTCTTTGTAACTGTCAGACATTTTAGAAGTAGAATACGAATATATAAATAAAAAATCACGGTCTTAACATAAAATATGTAAATGTTACCAAGAACTGTTTTTCATAAGGATTAAATTTAATCATACATTATATGATATAAAATGTAAATGTTATCATAAACTACTAGTATATTATCAACGTAAATGTTACCATAAGCTATATATCTTAAATACCATAGATGATAGAATTCCAAATGTTGACCATAAATTATCATATATAAGAGGTTAATGTTACCGCATTAACTATTCATACCCGTCTCTCATTTTTTCGGCTTCTTGTTTCATCTCCTCAGCTTGTTCTATTATCATTTCTAAAGCATCTTTTACGAGCTCTTCGTCCTACAAAAATAGCCTTTCAATCCTTAATCTGTTAAATATGTGCGGTAAGACACGGTTCAGAACTGTTCACTATTTAGAGGGGAAAATGTTTAAGCGGCCGGATAGCTCAGTTTGTACAGCCGCGGAACATGTTTCGATGGTCCCCGGTACGAGTCCCGGTAAGACTGCACATTTTTCTTACCCTGTGATATTTGGCGCTCAACGTGGAACCGTGACTGAATACTAGTATAGCTCAAAGTTAATTTCACATTGCTCTGTAACCTTTGGAAATTCGATGACGAATTTCAATATTTGCAGGGAAGAATGTCACGGTTCAGAACTGCTCTCTATTTAGGGGAAAAATGTGTAAGCGGTGATGCGGTAGAGCCGCAGAGCGGTATTCCGAGGGTCCTGGGTTTTATATTTAACTATGACACAGTTATCAATAATCCTGTTACTATCATTCAGTATATTTAACGGTAATATTCAATTCTTAAAAAGAGAGGGGCAGTCGTTTTCTAAAAAAATGTATTGTATCATCAATGATTGGTAAATCACCATTACAATAGTCAATCTTTTTTGAAATGTACCAATTCAATTTCACTTGACAGCGGAAAATTGGGTAAAGAGGTCGTGGCTAGGTCTCCATACATTACCTTTAGGTCCAAAACAGCATCTAAAATAATAGGTATCATAGTTTCGACTATATGCGCTGAGGTGACTGAAAATTTATCCATCAGTTCTGCCGACTGGAGGTGGAGCATTTGTGCTGTAGCTGCCGTCATGCGAACCTAAAATAAGCATACTTTACATTATAACAAAACAGCTCACTTTTTAAGCTAAAATGTTGTGTTCTTCTTTGCGTGAATATGAAGAAGAATAATCAGATATAAAACTGAAAAAAAACTTTTGTTGCTATAATTATTATCTTAATAGGTGTATCTTTTTTTTATATAAAATTTACTTTATTTATAAAATATTTAAAATGGGGAGTGGGCCTTTGGTCTATTTGTGATAGAATAAATAGTCAAACATGTTTTGTAGCCTGATCTACTAAAATGAAAAAGGTACCTCTCATTACTAAAAACACAGGTAGGATTTCAAATTAACGAATTCAAAATTTCAACATATTGAAGTCATAAATTCACGAAAATAACGGCATCAACTTCATAAACTTACGATTTCAACGTCATAAATTCATGAAATTCGTGATTTCAACGTTTTAACTCCATGAATTTAAGTTCACGTTTTGAACTAAGTGATTCTAATTTAACAAATTCATGAATTCACGATTTCAACTGGATCAAAAGTTCCTGTCGGGATTCGAACCTATTTAAAATCATTTTAGAAATTTAGTAAATTTCATAAAAGAAAAAAATACGAAAATCCACAACAACCAACCGATGGTGGCAAGTGGTTTTAAGTCAACGACCTTAACCATGCGCCCACGGACGGCCGATTCTTCCATGTGAGGAAGCCATCCAGCTAGCTTAGGAATAGTTCTCCTCAGGTGCCGATTAATGCCTGAAATAATGCATTTGTACCTGATGTCTTCCTCCACCTTGAAATCGTGAATTTATGCAGTTGTAATCATCGGGATTTTACGGTGTCCTTATCGTGCCATTTAGAATGTCGTCCGTCGCGTTTAAGGGTAGACACACGACAATGCGAAGTGACATCGCGACAATGCGAAGCGACGCTCGACAACGCGAAGCGATATGCGACAATGCGAAGCGACGCTCGACAGTGTCAAACGATATGTCGCACTGTCGCCTAGAAATGTCGCGGTAAAAAAGGGCGACATTTAAGAAATGTCGCTTCGCGTTGTCGAGTGTCGCTTCGCATTGTCGAGCGTCGCTTCGCGTTGTCGCGATGTCACTTCGCGTTGTCGCAATGTCACTTCGCGTTGTCGCATTGTCACTTCGCATTGTCGAGTGTCGAGGTTGGTAGAAGTGCATACCACGACACTCGACAATGCGAAACGACAACGCGACAATGCGATACGACGCTCGACAATGCAAAGTGACACTCGACATCGCGAAGCGACATTTTTAAAATGTCGAGTAAATGTCGCGTTATTTTTATGATTTTTTACACCGCGACGCTCAACATTGCGAAGCGACACTCGACAATGCGAAGCGACACTCGACAACGCGAAGCGATACTCGACAACGCGAAGCGACACTCGACAATGCGAAGCGACATTTGGAATAATATCGTATCGCATTGTCGTGCGTCTACCGGTGCTTGGTCAGAATTTACTAACTCACCGACAAACGGTGCGATCATGGAAGGGGTCGCACTAAACTGCTGACGAATTAGCTGACGATATAGATATATAGGAAACTGCTGACCAGTTAAATAAAAAAGGATTATCGGAAAATGCTGACCAGTTACACAAAGAAGGGAAACATTGAAGGTGTGAAGTTATATAAACACGCCGTAGGGGGTAATAAAAAGATGGGAAATTACTTTTATTCTTTTAATTATATTTTTAATTTTTGCATTTATATGACTATGTTTATAAACTAAATTAATATATACATTTAAAGTACCATAATATCATACATTTTAACACGGATTTACATTACTACATGTAATATAAATCCGTGATTTTTAAAGGATATATTAAACAGCTTTTTATACCTCTAAAGATATGCAAAAATTTGAATTAATGTTTTATAAAGAATTATGATGTTATGAGTTTTATCAAAATCTCTTGTTAGTGATATTTCAATAGAAAAATCTTGTAACGGAAAAAAATGTATTTTCAAAAGCAATAATTGCAATTTGAATTAATATTAAATAAGTCAGCAGTGGTTTTAACTTAATTAAATGTCGACAAAATTTTATACAATATATTGAATTTCGTACATTATAAAATGAATTAAAATTTTCACGACAAAATATATTTTTTTTCTATATTTCTAACTGGTCAGCAGTTTCCCTATATATCTAACTGGTCAGCAGATTCTACTACATGTGTATATGTTTAACTGGTCAGCATTTTCTCGCCTGAATGTAAAGAGCGTTAAATTTGCTAACCATATAGAATCACACTGGCCATAGCTTTCGCAGAAGCGGTGGGTCTAACCGGTGCGGCGATGGAGAATTCGTCGCAGAAGCGGTGGAAAAAACATGGCTATCGGATAGTTTTTTTGCTGGTGTCGGTTAAGTTTATGACTTATTTGTACATCATGTTTTTATGTTTTACTGATAACACTAGTGAGACTGGAGCCCACATATGTACTCTTCCAACTTATTACACGCATGGGGTGCAAATCATGACCAGGTATGCAAACACTTCTGTACAGTTTGACGAGGGGTCGCCACTTTTGCCTAATTTTGTTTATAACACTACAAATGTACTCAAAACTATCCCTAGATACACTGGCAATCGCACCGTATGTATGATAATTACATAAAACAACCATATTTTGGAACTTTTGGAAATTGATATTACCATTTTCATATAAGAATTGACAAAAATTGATTACAACGCAGACGGCAGTGGATTCGATTGCAACGCAGTGCGGTGGACCCGATATCATTTATGTCTTTTTTTTAACGTTAAAGTCACAGACACTTAGGAGTTGAGCTCCAAACGCCTAAAAATACAAATGAAATATATATTTTGTTAATCCTAATTCATATATAGTTGTTATATATATATCAATGAAAGTAAATATACGTTTTTTTGAAAACAAAATGACTCTCAGATATGCTGTATATAAATGCGCTTTGAACCAGCCTTGCTATAATCGGAGTCATTCGGGATAATGCGGGGGTTCTCACATTCATAGCGCCTCGCATTTTAATACGACAGAGCTGAGTGCCACGCTTGAATTTGTTGAAATATTTTGTAAATAATTTAAAATAAATAAAACGGCGATAGTTTAAATTTTTTCACATAGTGTGTTTGTATATTGAAGATGAAGTTTGAAATTGTTGAAAAAGAAAAAAAATGATGAAAATATATAATAAGTACCAGTAATATATGTCTAATAGATGACTCGTGTCGCCTGTTGACAAAAGGATAATGTAAAAATATTGGAAATAGAATCAATTGCAAGGTGATTTGGAGGATGTGCGATTTTTTCTAACACATTTTTTTTATCTTGTGTATATTTTTGACGTATAAATATTTACTTTTTCTTCAAAACAGCATATATATAAGTTTTATTGAAAGATATGATAAGTATATGGGCTGGAATTAATAAATATACAATTATTAGGATTTTTAAAGCAGCACGCCTCAATATTCATGTTTATTTTCATGAAAAGTTTGGAAATGTATTTATGTTTCACTTTTACCACGGTACATGTTCCTCCTTGTTAACTTGTGTCATCCTCAGTAGAGTTAAAATACAAACATAGAAATTTGATTGATAATGTCTGGCAGAGGCAGACGTCTTTATTGTCTAAGAAGAGATTATGATATAATCAAAAGATTAACCAGAAACTTCAAATACGCTTTCATATAGAAAACAATTGTAAGCAAACGTTATAATAGATGACACAAAGTTGGACAACAAAAACCACCAAACTGTCCAACCAAAGGAGGAACGACAGACCGTGAAAAGCAACGAAAACGAAAAGAGCGACAATTTAAATTGTGACTTAAAGATTACAATTACAATTTACAAACAAAAATATACGATAATTTGAACGCGTGCATGTGCAATTCGCTCATAGACCAATAAACAACATTTTCGTCTACCTTTTTTTGTCAGGTATTTTGTAATATTTTATTTCATAATGCATTCTATAATTTTTTATATTACATGCAGCCTATTTATAGCTTTGTACACGTTAAATAAAAATTTGATATAATTTAATGTTAATATGTAAAGTAATATGTAAAACTAGAAATGTGTCCATAGGACACGGGTGCCCCCACCGCGCCACTGTTTCTGTCAATCTTTTTCCTAAGTCAAGGGAAATAACTCTACAAATACTGGATAAATCCACAAGCGAAACCCCAGGTGCAAATCTAAATATGCTGAGCAACCTGCCCATAAGGTTTAATGACTATGTCAAATCCTTTTTGAGTTACATGTACATGCGACACAAGTTGAAAATTGCCAAAAAATTTCTTAGTCAAGGGCAATAACTCTGAAAATACTAAATAAATCCAGACGAAAATGTTTGGTGCACAACTGCACATCTGATCAATATTCCTGTAAAGTTACATGACTCTAGGTCAAATACTTTTTGAGTAACGTGCGACACGTGTTGAAAATTGCAAAGTTTTTACTAAGTCAAGGGCAATAACTCTGAAAATACTAAAAACATCCAGACGAAAATACCCAGGTGCACAACTACACATGCTGAATCAACATTCCTGTAAAGTTTCAAGACTCTAGGTCAAATACTTTTTGAGTTACATGCGACACAAGTTTGAAAATTGCAAAATTTTACTAAGTCAACGGGCAATAACTCTGAAAAAATACTAAAAATATCCAGACAAAAATACCCAGGTGCACAACTACACATGCTGATCAACATTCCTGTAAAGTTTCATGACTCTAGGTCAAATACTTTTTGAGTTACGTGCGACACAAAAGTGAACGGACGGACGGACGGACGGAAGGACGGACGGACAGACGGACGGACGAACAAGGGTAAATCTAAATGCCC